CTATAGGCGGATTCATGCTGACGTCATTGTTTACATTTTTGCTCATTTGCATACGGCTTTGCGTAAAGAAGGAAGCATGTTAGATACAAATTGACTTCAGGCAGCTAAAGAGCTAGAAAACCTTAGTACATGGTGAAATTTTTAGCTCTTTGGGTGTAATATTCAAGGAGAAATAGTCCATCAAAAACTGCAAAATTTCTGGGTGGCAAAAGCGCTAATGAGCTCATACATTCTATGTAAAATTTTGAGTTTTTAAACCCGTGTTGCACACAAAGTATTCAATGCATCAGGCTCGTATTCATTGGCCGAGTTAATCGTACTTTGACCTTTCGATATTCAGAACTGATTTATTTTTAGCTCCATCAGAAACTGAATTGCTTATGCTAATGAGGCAAATATTGTAAACAAGGGTTCCCCTACATGAAATTGAAATCTTGTGTGGTTCATATTCAAATACTAAACATCTATATAAAGCTCTCTCATCATAATCTATTACCTTTGAATGTTGTTATAATCATAATATCATTGGTATTGATACAATATGTTGTCCAGTGTTGCTAATGTGCTAATTTGAGACTGTCACTAAGCCAGCCTGAAGCTTAAAGTTTATAATTCATGAAAATAATATTATTGAGTCATACTTTTCAAAACAGAATATTTCTTTGCTGAGAAAAAAAAAAAGCTCCATTCGAAAAATAGAGGAGGGAGTAATATTTTCTAACAATACAAGTGAGCGACCAGATTACTATTTAAGATTTTAAAAGGCGACATCCGCAGTCAAATTTTTTTAACTCACTTGCAAACAACTTTGCAAAGGTTGGGTTCACAACAATGGAGATAAAAATAATGTGGCTTCTGGAACACACATCTCCCTCAATTACCAAAAAAACTCAATAAAAAATGACATGAAGAGTTATCATTAGCTACTTATCCTCACATTATCAACTTTGGGTGCTAACTAAATAGGAAAATACGTCTAAATTCACCATCATCAATGATGCATTTTGAAGGGGAAAGTGCGCGTGACCAGGCAGGATGGATGCACGAGGCGATTACCAAGCCCTTCGCATTTCGGTTGAGCCCCCGATCATTGCTTCGCTTGGACAATTCTCAAGATGGCGGAATTGAAGTTGTGGGTTTGTCACATTTCTCTATTTCAATTTTTGAACACGAACTGCTGTTTTGTTTGACTGTTTTGCATTTTTTTTAAATAATTACCTTCTCTGTTATTCCAGGGAACTTTCTGTGCCTTTTTCGACTGAGTCTGAGGCGCAAATTGCGTGCAATTCCCTTTCCGTCGATCCAGAACCAAAACGTGGCGGAGCTAAGAAACATCTGAAAGTGAAAGACAATGTGTTACACGTGTGAGTGTGGAAAATTTAACACTTTTCCATCTTTGTATGTACTTGTTTCACTGTGCATCGCATGTGAACCTCTTTACGTGGAAGTGAAAGTGGACTTTTGGATCAACCTCAGCTGTTTGTAGTTACGTTTTGATACAGCTACAGGCAGTTGCAACCAAATATCAGAGTTGAAAAGGTTGGGGATGTTTTTTAGCGGCGATCACATAATTGGTAGCTAATCATTATTTTCTTCTGTTATTGATCCACTTTGTAAGCGAGATCAGAATATAACCAGCTCATAATTGATAAAATTGAACTAATCATAATATATATAAGCTCTCATCATAATATATGACGTTTATTCAAACCTTTTGCAGAGAGCTGAGTTGCAGGTTTGTTACAGTGAGATGTTGTTAAGGTTGAGAACAGACATTGGCATTTTCTCAGGCGTCTCTGGCGGCCGCTTCAGTCCATATCGATTTCACCTTCCCACCCATCTCACCCCAGGGGAAGACATCCATCACACAGTAATCTCATGCGGGGAAAGTTAATGTCTCCTACTCCAACCCTGCAGGAGACGGGACCTCCATTTATTCGTCCCTATCCGAGAAGACTAGAATATCTAACCATTTCTTGATGTTATAGAAAGGTAGCAAATTCTCAATTATTTTAAGACCTTGAGTGTTGGTCCGGCCAGGACTTGAACCCTCGACCTCCCGCACAACAGTCCAGCGCACTATCCGTTGGGCTAACAACCCTAGCAAGTTTGCGGAGTTATTTTGCCTTTGTGCGAAAAAAAATTTATATCTACTTGCCTCTTACATAGGTTATACTCCAAGATCTTTCACTTTTTTAGGGTCTCTTTAGGAGAGCAAATGGTTAACCATGTGCACAGATAGTGATTGTCTCTTTTGTCATAACCCCCACCCCATGCATTTCCTTTCATTTCTCTGTGCTCTGTAAGGTGATCCAGGGGAAAACAGGTCTGTAAAAATATTTCTTGGGTGTCTGGTTTATAGAACTGATTTAGTGTTATACCAGGAGATATAATCCTGCTTGTGTGACTAATACTCTTTATCCTTACAGGACAATATCATCCCCTCAAGCTAAGACATTGAGAGTCTGTGCAAATGGTTTCCTTGACCATTTGACTCTGGTTACCTAAACAATTGAAGCATTTGGTCCTCCCTTGGAAGAATCTTAAAGCCATATTCTTGGAGAGACATGGAACACCAGCAGGATAGATTGATGATGTATATTGGGAAATTACCTGGTCAAAAGTGAACTCACAGGCAGGATGACAAGAGTGCTTCATGTGTGCAACAAACACTTTCCATCTCATTGGAAAGTTACTGTTTGATACACACTATTAGCTACCATTATCCTGTTGTTATTAATTAGAAGTTTTGCTGGAAACTGGGTACTGCAAAAATAGGTTTAACTGGCAAGTACTAACCACATCTGTGTTGGCAAGGACTTACAACTGTGTTTTACTTAAGTGTTACCCTTAACAACTGGAAACCATGGTAAATGTATCTTGAACATTTTTGCAGTTTTCTAGGAAGTTTGGGGTAATGGAGGTTACTCTATGTGTTTATCACTTGTGTTGAAATTACACCAAAAACAGTCTTGTTCTAGGAACCACAAGGAAAAGTTGGAAACTCTCATTTCCTTGTAGTAATGTATGAATACATGTACCAGTACATTAAGTGGTCATGGACTTTTCTGTGTGAAACAGTTCACAAAATAGTGAATGTGACAGACAGTAAAGTAAAGCTTATTTTATTATGTCTCCTTTCCCTTGAGAAGGGAATCAAACATTATTTCCTGAATGCAATAACTTAAGCCTAAGTTACTACAGTAACTCCTTTAGTAATAACTATTATTACAAACATGCTGTTTCAACCTTAAAATTAAAATTAAAATGCTTTGAGCCTTTTGCCTCTAAGCAGGACTCTTGACATTACCAATTCTTATGATTTAATAACTGCATATCTAAATTTAGTTCACATGAAATATAAGGAAACAAACTACCTAGAAAGTCTGCCGTTTTAAAATATTACATTTTCTTTTATCTTATTGTTAGCCTTCTCATACATGTACCAGTATGTATTATGTCTACTCATTGCAGTGCTTGTCAAACTATGTTCACACTTGAGGGGATAAGTATGTACTCTGATGGTGATTCACCTTGAACACTAAAATTGTAATATAATTACCCATAGACTCTTAGAAAAAACAAAGCCAAATATTTTCCTTCACATCAGTGATTTGGTATAACTTTAAGCTGTCCCACATACAAACGTTCTGATTCAAAAACCCTGTACTACTTGAGGCTTTCTTGCCAACCATCAACTGAACCCCACAGGCTGGCTGGGACACAGTGACAAAAGTAGTAATATTTTTAACTATGCTTTCCACCCGCTCGAACTTAAAAGCCCTAGTTTGTTTCACCTGTGCAACAGATTGAACAGGGTAAAGAAAGGACAACTGACCACATATAATTCCCAGGAATTACAAATTCTTATTATAAATTGAGGAAATATGCATCCTGCAGATGGAAGAATTGATACATTGTAAAGCAACGAAGGGTAGATCATGACTACTTTATATTTCATACCACAGAGAAAATAATGTGTAATAAAAACACCAAAGAACAGAGACACAACTGAAATCAATACTGGCTAAATGGCAACCATCTCTCAAAAGCTGGAAACAATTGAATTACCTAACAAATCCTTACAGTGAAGGTAGCAGAAAAAGATTGTAACCAGAAAGTTTGGTTAAGTTATGCAGTGAACGAGTTAATGTAAAGATTGTGACTTGTACTGTCATTTTTAAAATTCCCTTGATTGATTTCAGCAGTAGTAAAAAGTACTGCAATGTATTAACTTGAATGTTAACTGTCATCTGGAAAGGGCTATCCTGCAAATAAGCAAAATATTACATTTTAGGGATCTATGTAAAGAATCAAAACAAATTAATTGGTCCTGTCAAACTGGTTGGAAGCAACTGGTTAAAAACATTTTTCTCACTGGATCAGTCATTCATTGTTGTTTTTCAGCTTAACCTCAAGGAACTTGGCACTCAATATTTATTTTTTTATAGGTGTTTGGATTGATAGGCATTTACCAGCTGGTAACTTGGCTTGTAACATTTGCCTTTTAATTTTCATTGGCTGTTTAAATGTCACATTGCAAGCAACAGCTGATTATCTATGATTACAAAAAAATCAGATTTGAGCCATTGTTGTCATAAACTGCACACATCCAGTATTGAATTAAACCATACATACCTGAGTTTCTCCATATTGATTTACTTGTTAGCTTTCTTTTCCCATTTATAAGTTCCACTGTAGAGAAATCCACTGTCTTTGATAAGAGTGTCAGATTCTAATGGTCCTCGGCTGTTGGATAAAAATAGTGATAATCTCACCGAACCCTACAAAACTGGTAAATTGAACCAAAATTATATTTGCTTCATGATTTGATGTACATGTTTGCCTAGATGCAAATGAAAGAAAGAGATCCATGCAAAAAGAAGTTTAACCTCAAATACACAGTCATACTTAAAAAGAAATGTGTGGTTATTTTGTGGCTATAGCCAATGAATAGGCAACGTAGGATCCAGGACAGTGCTTGACAATGAAGGAGCGATTATAGAAGCAAGTGGACTACTCAAGTTACGCACAGAGATTTCAGAAAGTCTTTTATTGACTGCTTCGGGGATGTTTCGTAGTATGCAAGGTGGGTGGTTAGACTTGCTGCGTATGTATAGAGGGGTAGTTGCTGGTTTTGAATAGGGTCCGAATCTGCCGGTAGTCAGGTCAAGCGTTAGATCGAGAAAGTTGATGATTTTCTTGTTTGCCTCGACTTTGCATCTAACTACACGAACACCTCCCCAGATAATCGCCAAATCGTCCTACTTGCTAAAGAATCACTACTATTTAGCAATGAGACCCCATGGCAGAAGAAAAATTCCAACAGCCTTTTTGACGTCACCTTGGGAAGTTAAGATGGAGTGGAGACATGTGAACTAGTCGGCTGCTACCTCCTATCACAGCTTGCGACTATACCAGAAATTAACATTGGACGTTACTGTGACGACGGCCTTGCAGTTATAAACCAGACACCCCAAAAAGTGGAGAGAATTAAGAAACAGATTTGCACGATATTTGCCCAAAACAACCTTAGAATTACCATCTGACGAAGACATGTTTAACAAAGCCGCACCTCCCTACCAAGACACGTTACACAAGAGTGGCTACACATACAAGCTGCATTTCACTGAACCGGAACCGCACCGACCGCAATACCAAACCAAAAGGCGAAGAAACACAATTTGGTTTAATCCACCATTTAACAGAAACATCCAGACCAATATTGGCAGAGCGTTTATTAACCTTATTGACAAGTGCTTTCCAGTCACCCACAAACTGAGGAAAATTTTCAACAGAAACACCATTAAACTGAGCTACTCATGCACACCCAATATGAAACAGATCATACACGGGCATAACAAAGCTACAATCAGGAACGCAAAAATGTCCGAAGAAAGCCGCCCCCAAAGATTGTGCAACTGCAGGAACGAAAACGAATGCCCTTTAGGAGGGGAATGTTTGCAAAGCGAGGTTGTCTGCCAAGCCACAGTCACTACCAGGGAAGAAACTGAAACGTACGTTGGCCTCACAGCAACAGATTTTAAGACTAGATGGCACAACCACCGAATGTCGTTCAACCACGAGAGATGGCGAAATGACACAGAGCTGAGCAAGTACCTGTGGCAACTCAAGGAGAAGAGGGAAGACTATTCGATTTCATGGAAAATTATTGCTAGGGCTAGAGCATATTCCAATGCCACAAAACGTAATTTATGCCTCACTGAGAAATTTTTTATCTTGTCTTATCCACATGAAGCCTCTTTAAACAAGCAAAGTGAAATAATACCCAATTGTAGACATCGGCGAAAATATATTCTCAAGTATTCTTAATGCTATTATCGGCGTGCGCACGGTTTTCAAGATTTGAATTTTTTAAACAATGTCATGTGATCACTTTGCTGAGTTAGAGTTAACCCTCACTACGCCTCAGTGAGTATTGAGTTTGACTGATGAGCGGATCAACTTTTGTTGGTCTACGAAACAGGCTGTATTAAAATCCATATGTGCGTAACTTGAGTAACTTATATATATATATATATATAAAAATATGATCATGACTTCTGTGACTTCCATAGGAAGTGTTTTCTTGCCTGAAGTTCATCTTTGGCAACATTCAGCCTACATATGCTGGAATAACTCTATTAGAAGTACTTAATGTTAAAAATTAACCTTAACCTTTTAACTCCCAATATCTGATTGTTAATTCTCCCTTTTTGCTGCTATACATTTCCTAATTAATAGTCCATTTTACAGTTGCATGCTTGGTTGCCAAGCCTTTGAATGGGAGTGAGGCTAAGGGTGACCTTGTTATGATACAGACATTGCTGCTTTTCAAATGTAAATTACTTTGTTATCATGCTAAGTAGATGCTGGTCTCTATCACAACAAGGTCACTTTCAGCCTCACTCCAAATCAAAGGCTTGGCAACCAAGCGCAGAACTGTAAAATGGCCTATTAGTTCATCATAGAATTTGGTATTAGATCAAGATAACAAATTCAACATCATGGATTTGTTGATATATTCTTATTACTTGTTGGCTGGATAATGTAAAGATATTATAAGGAGAAGTTACATGTTTATCACTTTAAACAAGTTGTTAAGAATGAGACAGTGCAGTTTGAGCCATTGTTGTCATAAACTGCATACATCCATTTGAAGACAACAATTTTTTGTTGTCTTCAAAAAATTTACAAGTATTTAGTTATTCCAAATTAGGGGAGAATCTGTTCATGTGGCAAAGTTCAGTTACATGGGTGATTTAGCTATTGAGTGACTACTGATGCTGTCCCAGTGTGTCTGATGGTGAAATACACACCATGAGCAGATCTTCCTCTACCTACCGTAACATTTGACAAACTTATTTGTTTACTTAAAAGTGATCATCCAAAGTGCTTGACTGCTATAACTTGAAGGAGTTTAGCTCATAACCGTTATCAAAAATTAATATGAACACTAGCTATTACCTTCCAAACTGATAAGGAATTGGTTTCACGTTCTCCCTTTCAATCTGATGGAGAATGGGGGTGAAAATTCTCCAGGCCTCAGCAAGCTCATCACTGAAAATAACAAAATGAATTAACCAAAAAATAACCAGCAGTCTATGTCTGAAAGACAATTATACCTTCTGACAAAATGAGCTTGGTTTCCAGAAAACACATCAAGAATAAGTCTTTCATATGCATCAGGCATCTTCACATTCTGTTAAGTAAAAACAAAAGTGTTTAGAAGTATGCTAATGTTGTGCACTAAATGTTTGAAGAATCTAATAACTTACACAAACATTTTAATCTCCAGAATAAGGAGAATTAAACAGTAAGTAGAAAAGCTACAATATACTGCTGCAAAAAAAAAAAAAAAACTAACTGTAACAGGTAGAAAAATACATACAGTATATCTGTCAGAATATGTCAAGTCCAATTCTGATTCTTTTGGTTCAAAGGACATTCCTGCTTCCTTTATCATCAACTTGACATAAACAGCCTGTAAAATAAGAAAAACATATTTCCTTCACTAAAAAACAAAGTTGTTTCAATGTCAATAAATTGTTAGTGAATTAGTACTAGGACTCTCTTCCGTTCCAGGAGGAATGGGAAATTTGAACCTTACCTAGCTGGTTGGGGTGTGGTGGAGAATTTGAACCAGAACCATTAAGTCTTCCAGAGGAACACATGTTTTATCTTTTAATATGGAGGTGTTTGAAGGTAAAAAGTTCACATCTCACAAGCAGATGAATAAAAGGTCTACAAGAAAGTCACAGTTGCTGATCTTTCCTTTAACAAAACAATTGATCAGCAAATCTAGCACTTGGATGTGGCATTTGAACATTTTTTTATGTCCAGGGGGGGATTAGAATGAACCAATTATTGTTCAAATGCCAGGGGAGGGGGAGGGGGGGAAGGTGTGCCAGGGGTGGGATGTTAAAGCTTCAAATTGGTTGATTTTATTACTATAAATCATTATTACCATAATATTATTATTACCATCATAAGATTATTACTACTATCATCATTATTACAATTTTTGTACATTTTTGCCAAATTTAAAATTGATATCATGGCAAAACTTATTGCAAAAAAAATGGGATATTCATGTTTACCTCATTTGGTTGAAGTCTGACCACTAACTCATTCCTCTTGCACCCTCCTTCAAAGATATCTCCAGGTGTGTCAATAAACTGGATGCGGACCTCAGCCTTGCGCTCATTAAGGGCTAGAGAATGAGAAGTAAATGTTGATTTTCTAGTTTTAAAGCTTCTTGGTTTCTTCTGAAAATTATTGTTGAAATTAGATATAACTTTAATTTCATCTCAATTATTATAAAATAAATAAACTTGTGTTAAAATTTATTGAGTCTGCAAAAGCTTATGAATCAAGAAAAACCTAACATTAATCGAGTTTTAAGTTTTTAAACCTACCCAATGAATAAATGAGACAAAAAATGCTCTTTATTGACAGATATAAAATCTGAAACCATCCAGACATAAAATTACAAATTGTTAATATTTTGACATTCTCCTCAGTTATTTTAAGACCTCGAGTATTGGTCTGGCCGGGGCTTGAACCCTCGACCTCCCACACAACAGTCCGGCACTCTAACCAATTCAGCTAACAGGGAGGTGGTATCAGACACATCAAAAATTGTAATATTATGAAAAAAAATACCTTTGCCACATTTGAGAATAAACGGAACACCTGCAAAACAGAAATGAAAAAAATATACAGTATTAAAAATATCACAATTGAAGTACTTTGGCTGATTCTATCGATAACCGATTAATGGACTGTCTACTTTTCTACCAATTCTTAACACTGAATCATATGTTGCTCTTAACTTGTACTTAAATTTAGTGCTAGAGCTAAAAGTTTGATGATGAGGTGATTGGTCTCAGTCCTGCTATCAAGATGAGACAAGACCTGAATGGAACTTTTGTCTGTCAAAGACATGGACAGAACTGATGTCATCATCCAAGACCAGGAGTTGTGTGTCAGTCAAATGTCAATAATCTTGTTTCTGATGTTGAACTTTTGCCCTGGTTACTGAAATGTCAGTCACTGTAACCAATAACAGTCCTGTCCTGTTTAGGTCTACCCTTGACTGACCAGTGAGACTATATAAGGCTGACTTTTAATGTTGGGTCTAAACCCTTTTTTGAATTGTGTTTAGATCCCTCACTCCACCTTTGTCAGTGAGCACTTTGAACTTACCATCCCATTTCTCGTTGCGTATGTACATGACTGAAGTTGCAAAGGTTGGTGTGATGGATCCTTTGGGCACAGTTGGATCATCAAGATAACCAAATTTTCCATCACCTTCTGCATCAGGATTTCCAACATACTGACCAAGCACCGTGTCTTTTAATTCAATTGGGCTTATGGACTTCAGAACTTTAACCTGAATGAGAAAATTTACAGGATTACTCAAAGAGATGGAAAGTGCACAAAAAGGATTTTTATCTACAAGTTAGGATGCATAAAAAAAAATTAATGAGTGAGCGTAGCAAATGAGTGAGATTTTGATACATTGTAACAAGTGAATAAAAATTGTTTAAGCACTTTTCATGGTATGATGTTTTTATTTCATACATGCTAAGATTTTTTCTTTCTGACCAACACATTTCAAAGATTGGAAGCAAATGACTGTGAAAATACCAACAGACACAACTGATAGTACTTCACAGTGTAAATCTCAGTATGTAGGAAATATAAGTAAAATTAATAATAATGCAATTCTAATCATGGGGAGTGGCAAATACCTCTGATCATTCGTGCTAAGCTGACTGTCCCTTACATGTCTCAAGCTTTGTAAATTGTTTACTGAAAGTACAATCTAATTACGATCTAATTATGCAGAAATGTGTCTGGTTTTTGTAGGACAAAATGTTATTCTCAATTAAAAAAAGAGTAAAAATTCTGTACGGTTATGCCCATATATGCATTTGTTGTGCATGTTCTTTGCTTCCAATGCATGTTGGGACCTCATGCTTTCAAGGGTTGCCATGTTCATAAAACATGTGTTGTGTTGAACTGTTGTGAGATCTTTCTACGGTTTCTACATGGTGGCAGCGGTGGGATTACGATGCATTCATCATAGAGTAGAAGATTGTCAACGACTGCTAAGTGAGCTCTGCTCTCCCAATATGGCCTGAGTAGGGGTTGATAGGGCATGTATACTGGCCAACCCGCTTGGCAATACCCTCTCACTTGCATGCATACTTCATTGTTTTTCTGAGCTGCTATGATCTCTTGAAGGCACTGAGCAGTGGCAGGAAGTTGGTCCATTGTGGAGCTAGCAAAGGCTTCAACCTCATCAATGAAATGTAAATCAGATGTGTTCGGGGAGCTAAGTGGAGCACATGAAAGTGCATCAGCTGAAATTTGACATTTACCAGGTATGTGCAAGACTTCAGGGTTGTATTGCATCATTCGAAGGCAGAAGTGCAGTATTCGAGGGGGCATCTTGGACAAGTCGGTTGTTGTGAGGAGTGGGACAAGTGGCTTGTGATCTGTTTCCATGGTAAACCTGAGTCCAAGGACATACTCTTCAAGGCGTTCGCATGCCCAGGTTGAGGCCAGGGCTTCCTTTTTGAAGACAGCATAATTTCTTTCAGCATCACAAAGGGATGTGGAGATGTAACAGATAGGGCAGCGCTGTCCATTATCTTGTGTTTGAAGAAGAACTGCTCCCAGCCCTGTTGATGATGCATTAGTGGTGATGACTGTTGGACAGTTGGGGTTGTAGTGTGCAAGGATTTCAGGTGATGCAAGCTTCTCTTTACCTTGTTGGAATGCTGTCTACTGAGCTTCATTCCAGTACCAAGCACTGTCCTTGCGAAGGAGCTGCCATAAGGGTGCATTGATGTCGGCTAAGCCAGGGACAAACTTTCCCAGTTGGTTAACCATGCCCATGAACCTTCGTAGTTCGGTTAGCGTTGAGGGAGTTGGAAAATAATGGCCAATAGCGCGTGTCTTCCCTGGGTCAGCATGGACACCCTGGGCATCGACAATGTGTCCTAGGAACTTGAAACTTTTTTGTAAAAACTCACACTTCTGAATGTTCAATGTCAGTCCAGCTCTTTGAAGGTGAAACAAAACTGCTCTGACACATGCATCATGTTCCATGTGGTTTCTTCCATGGATAAGGATATCATCCATCCAGCATATGACTCCATCAAGGCCCTCCAAGATGTCTGACATGGTCCGCTGAAATAGTTCAGGTGTGGGACTAATTCCAAAGGGCAAGCGGTTGAAATAAAAACGGCCAAAGGGAGCGCTTCACTGCTGTAGACTTCACTGCGGAAAGATCTGCTACTTCATTGATGGACATGCACTTCGCCGCCAGTTTCTTTGAGAGATAAACAGCTCGCAAATGACCCCTCTTGTGACAGCTGTTACAAGTTACATCCTTTGCAGGGCATGATTGTCAATTGTGTTGCTGTCCACCACACCACACCACATTCAGGTTTTGACTGAGCTCCGTTTTCGGGGTTCACAGCTGATTTTGAATCTCTTTTGCGATTTTCCACTAGATCCACGCGTGTAGAGTCGGAAACCAGGTTGGAATTAATGTGACTTAACAAATAGTTCACATGAGTGTGCTCACTTTTTCATTTCGAAGATCTTCCGCCCGTTTACTGGCTGGTTTTTCCATGGCAACCAAACAAAGAACCTGTAAAAGATGGTTTTGCATCACATCCCTGCAAGAGAAATGCACAGTTTGTAATAATCACAAGTCAAACCGTAAACTCAAAAAGAAAAAATAATTCCCTGTTTGACTCCAAATGAAAGGATGGTCCATGCTATTTAAGTCATATACCAGTAACTATCATTTGTATTTATCAATGACATTATTAGTTAATAAATAAAAGATGTCAAGGATATACAGGTTGCAGGTTCTGTATATTTTTGTAGCACTGAAGACGTAAACTTCAGCACCCTCTGACACTTCCAAATAGAAGAGAAGAATTACAGTTTACTTCAAATACTTTTTACTCTGTTGTAAGATACCTAATCTTTTCTCATGCAAAATCAGAGAAACCCTTTACATCATGAGTTGGTATGCTGAACTTTTGGTAAAGAAAAACTACAGTAATGGTGAGATGGTTGACTATACGATTCAGCGGTTGCTGCTGCATTTAAGCTTTAAGTTCCAGCAAAACTGAAGATGCACTACTATTCCATCTAATTATACTCACTGTACAGAAGTAAATTGCTACAAATTACCTTATGATTCCATATTCATCAAAGTAGCCCCCACGTCCATAAGTTCCAATGGGTTCTTTGAATGTAATGATGACACTTTTGACGCTCTCTCTACACCACACTGGCCCAAAAATGCGGTTTCCAAATCTATTATGAAGAAATTGTTTATTATGGGGGCACTTAATTAACGTTTGCTTTCAATTTGCAATCTAACCTCAGAAATAGGATAACACTAGAAATCAATTTAAAAAGGTTTTCTCTGCCAATCATTAAAAAAACAGTTTTGCCAGAAACTGAAATCACTAAATACCAAGAAACTGCCCTTTTACTAACCAGTATAGCTCATGTTAACACAGCTGCTGTCATTAATTGTCAGGAAGCAGTAAAGAAGGCAAAAATGAGATTACAACAGACCCAATTTTTCAGAGAGAATTTCCCTTTTTAATCCTATCCTCTGATAACCAGTGAGTTTGACAGTTGAAAAAAAAAAAAAAAAAGAAACAGTCATACCATGTGTATCCATCTGAAGACATAAGATTGTCATTTGAGGTTAGTATTCAAGAAACATCCTAAAAATTTGAAAACAAGAAGAGCAAAGGGAAAGAAATCTTACCGCAGCACCATCAGATTCTGTACCATTTCTTTTCCAAGATAATGATCAATACGATACATGGAGTCTTCAGGAAACAGTGATGCTAGATGATTTGACAACTCAGCAGAGCTGTCAGCATCCTTGCCAAAGGGTTTTTCAATCACCACTCTGTTCCAACCCCTGTATAAAATAGACAGAAGTGTGATCTTAGTTATGAGGGTAGGGTTTGCACACCTAAACTCTGACTTGTACAGCTGTTGGAACTTATCCTGGCTCTTGTAACAAGAAGTGGCCAGAAGTAGCACCACCCCACTGAAAGCAGGGTCCTAAATTTTTGCAAGGAAGCTCCTGTTTCAAGCTTTTCTTGGCTTTTCCAATAAGAAGCAATAGTTACTATAGGGATATTGCTCCTCCTTCTGATGAAGATCCTACTCATTTTAAGCTTGTCCTGACTTTTGCCATTTGAAGCAACCGAAGGTATTGCCATTCCTGCTGGCTACTTGCAGGGTTTCCCTGTAATTCATCAAGCTTCCCTGGCCTTCTCCCAAGCCAAGAAGAAATCTGAACAACCATTTATATTGACCAAAATCAAACCATAACATACTTTGAGCCCATACAGTACTTCTTGATGTTCTCTGATGTGTCTATGAAAACAGATGGAGGAAGTGCAAGATAAAACAGCCTGTTGACAACATCCTTCCCTTCTCCAAGTTTCTCAAGCTCTGCATTCAGACTTTTAAAACCTGATGCCTCATTGTAAGGACCTTTCACATAGTAGCACTTCTTGTAAAATTCTGACAATTTTTCTTTCTCGCCATCTTTAAGCTAAAATGAAATTATTCATAACAAATTTGTTTAGTACACAGAAGAAAATTTTCACCAAGTGATAGAAAAACATGCTTATCATTGGTTTGCTTCACATTGTTGTCACTGGTGCAGAAAAGTCACACTGACATCTCAACCAAACAAGTGAAAACTCAAACCAAAATGACTTGATGACTAGGGTTTCCCATGCTTATCTGAATTCACATTGAGTTTTCCATGAATCCTTTTGATCTTTACTTTGGTTCTCATTGGCCATTGTGATTACTTTGGTTTTGGTTTCATAATACTAAATAGAAATGGGCTCTCCATGCCTCTTAATTTAACTTCTAATAACTACTTATAATCTCTAAATACTTTAAAAAAAAAACAGCAAAAAGTTATTTACTAGACAAGTTAGTCCTCCTGTCTTTCCAGCAGATAGAAAATGTAACATCTTAAGTCAAATAGTTTTTAAACACTTAAGCAGAAATATAACTCACCTTCAAAAAAGGTTCAACTTTGGCTCGTAATTTGTCAACAGTCAGATCTGAACGAGCATACCCAATAAATTTAGTGTTTTTTGGAATGAGATCATCTTTGTACAGATACCTAGTGAGATAAATGGCATCGCCTAATTGTGATAACAAATGTACATGCATTGATAGAAATGACAGCAGACCTTGCCATAAGATATGACTTAAATTTTTTCTCCAATGTAAAATCACTAACTTGTCAGTCATATATTTATATGATGAATTCACAAAAGAGATTAAATATCAGACTTCAAGTGAAATAAAAACCTATCATTTAGCATCAACATCACAACTTACACCAGTTCAAAAAGTCCCTTCCAAGTCCATACTTCATTAAAAAATACTACAATGGGATAATGTATTGTAATATCAGCTTTTTGATGTCTGTGGTGTTTTATATCCCTGTAGCCCTTGTAATAAGGTTATGGTGCATTAATTTGATTTAAGTAAAACCCCATGGGAGGGTAATAAAAAGCAAAAACATTTAACACATGCCACTAAGACTTCCTTTAGACCAACATTGTTCTAGCAAATTCCAGGTTAAATTTTTTTCCCTTTTTTTCTATTTGCACAATCTTCTGGACAGTCTGCTTAAATTCTCGAGTGAAAAGTTTTAAAATTTTATGATAATAAGAAATCTGGCTTTCATAGTGACATTTGTGTCATATTATCGCTGACTATTGCGTGACATTTTTAGACTTAAAGAATTGCTGAGCTGTTGTCATCTTATATTTGCTTACAAAAGATTTATCAACTAAATTTTGTTTTACCACAAGGTGGGGTAAATCTTTTTCTTGGCAAGGTCTCCCTGAAATAATAAGTGATGAGAACTACTTAGGAAGTAATAATTTTATACTTTCAGAAACATGTTGATCGACCTTCAAAATTCATGTTATCGGATGATTGCTCGATTAGCATGTATATGCAAATTTTTTTACAAAATCTGTTATCGCAAATAAGCAGCTCTTTAAATTAGATTTGATCTAGTATGGGGTTGAATCTAGTAGATACAAAATTCCAGCCTAGTATTCAGACCCTGTAGCCCTAAGATTAAACTTCATCCTTTGAATTTCATTTTCTGTGGAAGTGAAACTGCGTAAACCTAACTTGAAATGTTTGCATGCGTAAATTTGTGATCGATTTTCTGCACGAACGATTGAAGTTGTCGGCTGTTTCAAAATGAACGCATTTGTTTAACAGAAAGGAGAAAATCGACGCCAGGAGATAGAAAAAAGACAAAAAAGCGGCACTTTATCTCGGCAACCCAAGAAAAATGCTTCACAGTGCAACTTGAAAGATCGCGCGAAATAAGAAAATGTCAAACTTGTCACTTACCGATGCTCCAAATACAACAAGCAAGGTTAGTTCATTCATAACTGCAGAACTATCCTCTGAATCTGGCGAAATTAAGAACAACGAGAAGGTTTAAAAAGTTTTTAGTTCTAAAATTCCAACGTTCTCAGATTTGAAACTTTCTGGAGACCTTTAGGGCACTGTATTACACCTTTGGTGTTTACGTAAGAATGATCATGCGCAAATTACCACGTGATTTGTTGCCCTGGAAAAATTGTGAGTCTGTACTTTGACCAAATCATAGTTAATAGAGGGGATCAAATACTTCTCGACATATTTTTAATTGCTACTCTCATTGCCTTTGATTTCAATTTTTCCTACACATTGTTGCAAAGAAGTGAAGGGCGTTGGGCACAGGGTCTTCGTGTTTGAAAATCTTAAAAGGAAAAAATTCCATCCAGGTTTGTCACGCAATCTCTAGTTCACGTGATGTACAACAACTTCGTCTGAAAAAAGGGAAACCCTGTACAAAGATTGCAAAAAACTACAATGCCTGTTGGGGTTGTGAACTTCACCGACCCACATTTGAAACATTTTAAAGAAAAGGGCTTTTCTATTTGTTTTAGATTACCTTAGAGGCAATGTAGGTGGTTCTCTCAAGAATCATTTTGATATTTTACCCACAATTTGAGGGAGGGGCTCTCATTTGAACTTTTTTTTCTAACAGTCGAGACACTTACTCCAGATATATCACTTGTCATAAACCAAATTTTTGCATCGAGTTGGTAAGAAAGTTATATATTTCTGAGGTTCTCTTTTTCATACCATGTAACCTTAAACACTCATTGTGAGCGGAGAAAAGATTTGCATTTTGCACAAACAGGATAAACCCTCTGTTGTTTATTCAGGCATGAAATACAACATTTAAACATATTGCTCCCTGACCTCTTTTTCTGTGTTACAACGCTACGAAGCCAAACTCTCTTTCATTGTAATAAATGAATAACCAAAGAATAAATAAAAGCACACGGAGTCCATCTGCAGTGTTAAGTAGCTTTGTGTTCAATAATTTTGAAAAATGAAAATTCTTGCCCCTCCCACGCATGGTTATAAGACATAATATTCATGAATCGAGGGACCACTGGAGCTCAAATAATAACTTCTTTTTTTCCGTTTTGGAGGGTTTATTGGCAGAATAAAAAACAATTGTCAGAAATTTTCTTGATACGTGCCTTGCGGCTCATTTAGTCGGGTATCTCTGCCAAACAATTTAGCATGTGCCGTACACTGAATTTTGCTTTCGTCCAACTTAAGTGCGTTTTTGTCTATGACATCGTTCACTGCACCATTTGTATTTAAAAATACGAGTTAAGACATTATGTTATTTCTATCATCATGCTTTCGAAGCGGCGCTGCACCATTTTGCAAAAGCACTGGACAAGATATTTCAGCTCTTTGCCTTCACCAATACCTCCCCGCCTTGTCTGATCGGCAGTGTGAGCCGTGTACTCAAGAGCAATATTGCATGACGAAATTAAATGACCGTGCTTCAGTCTTTCAGATTACCATAACGTCGTCTTAATTCAGCTAAGAAGTACACGATTGCCCACGAAGCCTGGTTATTTATCGAGATATATACCTTTAAGTATGTTCACTGGTAGTAGCCTTTTTTGTCACAGAACAAAATCATGTAACGCAGTGCAAACCTTTTTGTGATTTCATTAAATATTCACCACCAATTCACAAGACAGTACCTCTGCCCGCCATTAGAAAAGGAAAGTTTAAGCTCACAGTAACAAGTTTGAAATGCGATAATTCAAATACTTTAAACTTAAGTCAACCTGTGTAAACTTGATGGAGTCAAAGTTATAAAACCATCTGTTTGTAAGGTGTGCGTTCTTTACATGAAAGAATTACGATCAACCTACCTGCTTGAGATGAGTATGCCCGAAGACGACAGAGATCAAAATTGTGCGTTTTCTCTGGTTTGGGTTTAGAATCGAAATCGAAGATCCATGAGTTATCAGGTTTAATTTTCCTTGTTGCCATGTTCAGTCATTGAATGGATCAATCAACGACCACAACTTCCCATGCGTCTTTGCTTGTTTTCCTTCGATTTGACAGTAGACTGGGAACTAATTCGTCACGCCACAATAACGTCGACAGCTCACATTTTCCGAAAATTAAAAAAAGATGATCAGAGACTTTCGGCATGTTGTCTCGCATCAACTAGATAGCTGGAAATATTTTGTCGCTGGTAGCGATGAGTTTACTACCGTAAAGAGGAAAACTTTCAGCCCTCGGACCAAGTGGGCTCATTTCCCGAACAACACCTGCAAAAGGTGCGTCACACATGACGTCAAAGAACTGTCTCAACGCTTACAATAAAATGGAGATGACAAGCCTACGTCACTCTTACGAATCGTGAAATTTGTTTGGTTGCCTTCGTCTGCAAGGTGTTTCTTCGCACGCGTTTCGACTGTGGTTTAGGCGTATATTTGCCCAGTTCCCGCTGAATATTGGTACCTAGCCTAGCTGCAAAGTTTTCCGTATCGTCGGGCTGTAGGTACGGTCTGTTCTTGCTTATCATTATTGCAAGACACTGCGAGAAAAGTAGGTTTACAGGCGTGATTATAATTTAGCTCGACGCCTGGAATTAGTCCAGTCTGTAGCTTTTTTGCGAGTTTCTGTGCCAGTCTAATCATACTAGGTGTCAACGGAGTATTTCTGGAGTAAACCACGCTGAAAGATTACCTCGATTTTTGGCTAACTTAATTTTAATTGTGTTGCTGCCATGGAGCGGAAATTGTAAGATCTGAGATACGAGCGTAACCGACTATCGCTTTCAATCATGAAGTCAGTGGCACTGTGATAGTCAGTAGTATGCACAAGGAAACAACACAATGATTCGGCCTGGGCCCGAATTTGCTCTTCTCGAGCAGGAGTCCAGCAGTGTTCTCACCATCAGACCACCGACTCGCCCATGGCAACATATATAACTTGGTAATATTGAACAATCCAACCAGGACTTTCCCCAAATCAATTGTACTACAAGATGACGTGCTGTTCTTCAGCCAAGGAAGGAGTCAGGGACATAAAGAAGTTTGAATTTTTTTGGTGAAGCAAAGATATGAGAAGTGACTCGAATGGAACGACGGTCATCGTGGCAATGAAAAGCGCATTTCGCACGTATTTGAGTGCATGGGCGTCAGTAAACACACTGTGAGTTTTAGGGCTCACTTTTTCACTAGTCTTTCAAGAGCGTCAGTGGTCTTCAGTCCACTTTACCCCCAAAAGATGGATTCTTCGTCATGACCACTGACAATGTGACACTAGAGAGCAACTTTGTTGGGGGATATTCTTAATCAGGAATAAAGTATTCTCTTCCCCTACATTTTGTCTCAAGCTTGTTACAAATAATAAAACAGGGGCAGAATAAAATCAAGAAATACATAAAAGACAAATTTGTTGTTTTCTCTAAGATTTTTTTTCAGATGATCAATATTTCTCCACAGGTTCCAGATCCAAGCTTTTTTTTATTGTTATTGCCGTTGCTCCAGGATAATGCCTTTTCTCTTCAACTGAAGTCAGTATAAAAGTTGTAATCGTCGTCCTCAGCCATGGCTTCCCCTTGACTCGCTTCTGTAAGAAAATAAAACAATTCATATTCAATTTGTATCAACCACCCTCTTGGTTCTAAATGTCCACCAAGAGTATTTGGACCCTCGCACCTCTCGATTCTGTGGTCAAAAGCTACATGTAAACTATACAGCTACAAAGAACTTTATCGTACACTCACTGGACTGTTACTTCAGCAAGGTTTCTCTGTGACCAGCGTCCTGCATTCTGTTGCGACTAGCAACGTCAAAGGCATCATTATGCCAAAATATTGAAAAAGTTCATAAATTTTGTGCTTGGTTGTCTACAAAGAAGAAACTTCCCTTAAGTGGCGAGCCTGGCGGATTCAGTTATTTTTTTTTTTTGTACCACACTCGCAGCAAATTTAAAACATCTAACATCTTTCTTCATTCATACATATTCCTTTTTATGATCCATTAAGACTTTTTTCCTTTATCAAACCATCTGGAGCCTATGTATGTTTGATCAGCTCGGAGAAAGTCTAACATCCAATTAAATTTGGTCTCGCGTTATTTTATCATAGAGTTGTAAATCTTTGATGCTTAACATTTCCAACGCTGATAGAACGAAATTGGATGGGTCATTTTACCCAACAAGAGCTATGAGCAACCTGCCCCAGATATTACAGCTAAAGATATAAAAAGGACTAATACCTTTCTGGCTTGTTGTAGAAAAAAAAGAACAGATTTTTTTTTTCCTACAACAACTCAGGAGAGTATTTTCCCTTTCACTCCTTGCTTTCTCACCTTGCTTCCGCTTGTCTCTCTGCTTCTTCTTAAAAAGCTACGTAAACAAAGGCAAAGTAATGAAAAAGGTGGGAAAACAATTCAAGACACATTACATGGCTATCTTAAAGCGGAATGGTTTGAGCACGAGCTACCAAATACACTTTACCTTCTTTCTCTCCTTATTGGTCTGTAAATTAAATTCATTGATTTCATTCGGCTCCAGTCCACCTGAAGTCGCCCCTCGAGATTTCGTGGCTTCCTTCGGATGTGCAACAGATTTTGAATTCTTGACGAGAACTGTCATGCCATCATTTTGTGTCTAAAATATGAAAATTGGTCGGTATTGTGATAAGTTTTCACTCATTGTGGACCACACATTTTAGGTGGCCACATGGATTTCAATTATGTCCGTTACACCTCGCTCTCGAAGCGAGTCTCAACTGATATCCTGAGATTTCATGGGGTCCATGGAATTTCATTCACATTTATAGAAGAAATCTTCAAAGGATAGTAGGCGTCGTTAATCTAAGGGAATCTCAGATTTGGGATTTCCACCATTTCAAAATTCAACCTAAACTGTTTGGGTTCAACTTTACTACCTTAAAATGGACGAAGAACTGTTTTTGCTACATTTTAATCTAGATGACGTCTAGTGGCAATGCACTGTGAGGTTTTCACTGACACAAATGGACAGGGTCCAATACTGAGGCCACCGATCTCTTTCTCACACGAGCAATCAGTGCAATCAGCAACAACCAAATATCACTTCTATTTAAGAGTGAAGTAGTAGACTAGGAGCAAACGCGATCAATAAAATCAATGCTACACCTTATGTCACAAAAAGGGCATTAGGATAAAAACAACAATTTCTAGCAGATTCATGTGTCAGTGAGTTGTGAGGGTTCAGCAGTAACTTCAGTCTATAATCGTCGTCGTTATATCAACGTCATTATAATTAAAGCTAAAATTATTATTGTTTTTGTCATTTTATGCGCTTTTGATCACCTGGTATGTTAAAAGGCGCCCTATAAATCAATAAATTATTATTATTATTATTATTATCATTTTTCAATACTATATGATTATCATCGTCACTGTTGTTGCTGTATTTTAATTATTATATTCCAGACATCGTTATCGTCGATTTCTCTTCCCCGATCCTTTAACAAATTGATGATGCAAGGAGTGTAAACTTGATCATACCAGCTCCCCGTCGCTGTCTTCCATGGCTTCTTCTTCTTCGTCATCGTCGTCGCTGTCATCTGAGTCGTTATCTTCCTCAGCGGATTCCTGTGTTAAACAACGCAAGTAAAGAGCGTCAGTTTCAGTGCCGACTTCGATTTTCAGAAGAAACATTTTTAGCTTAGTATTAGCTAGATTATTAGATGTAAAAAAGGGCATTTCGCCTGCTACACTTAATCCATCAAAAACTTGTATTTAATATCAACTCGACAGAAAACCCGCTCTAGATGGCCCGGTGGAAAGCACGCTTTATTCCTGAAAGAGAGGACTGCTTAGAATTGACTGTAATAGGTAACAGAAATTTGAAAGAGAAAGCTGACTATGACAATTACAACATGCTGTGGAGCAGCCGTATATGGGGCGGATAGAGAGGGAGAGTGGAGCAAAAGATGGGCACACAAAGAACGGAGATATATCAAATTAAGTCATTTACAAATTACGCAATATACAAGTAAAAGTAGAAGTAGGATTAACAGAATCGAAATTACAGTAAAACTAACTAACCACTCTGTACTCTGTTTTATAAAAAATTCCTTGACAGTTTTACAAGGGTTCCGTAATCTTAACAGTTTCTAATAGTTTCTGGTAGATTGTTAAACAGCTTCGACGCATTATCTTGGAAAGTGCCTTTTTACCCCATTATCCTACACTCTTAGGTATGAAAGCTTAATGGTGAATTTGGAAATTTTAGAGAAAATAGCAAAAAGTTCCAAAATGGAGTAATAAATGTGCAGTTACACCTTTGAAACTCACCAAATCTTCTTCATCGATCTCAGCTGCATCCACAGGGTCACCAGCTTCAAGCACCATTGCATCCTCCATTGTGTCCCGCAGACCTACCAAAGATAGCGAGCACTTGAATTTCCTGATAAATTGCTTTTGTAACACTACAAAACACTAAAAAATAATTTAACAGCTGATTTATTATATTGTATCAACATACAGCTATGACTGAATAGCTGTCTTTGATCTCAACTGTAAAGAAACAAAATTTCGTAAGTTTTCTTGCGATGAACCCAATTTTTAAAGAAGATTTTTTTAAGTCAATGACCTAGACGCTCTCGACCTTCTGGGCCCCTATCCATTGGATATCCAGTAGACAGCGTAGTGCATTTTGCCATCACTTATCCAATGGAAGTGATTTATCCGTTGAATAGTGTTATCCGCCCTTTACTCAACTGGACCCTGATGAATAATTTGGATACTCTACCACTGATCTCCAAGCTACTCAAGGTAACAGTGATTTGAGCGCTTCAGGCGGCCTAATCACCTAGCCAAGAATCAAAATGTTTTCAAGTCTTTTCAACTTCCTTGTGCCAGGTGTTTATTACTTTGACATGCTTGAAATAATGAAGCGATTTTGAATAAAACTAATGTGAGAGCAAGACTAATATGCAATTATTGTTTTCTCTCGTTTGTTTCTCAGTTATTTTTCCTTTCTACAACACTTGTCGAGGCCAAAAATTTTCGAGGCTGAAAATACTCGAGTCACATAAGTTGCGAAAACCAACTGCTTCCCGTGCCAAAAATTGAGCAAACACCATTTACAGGAAAGATTTAAGGCAATCACCAAACTGGGTGTTTCCTCGCTTAACGCCAATATTCTGTGCTCTTTCTTCATATCAGCACCAGACTTACCGTGCAATTCGTCGTGTTCATACTGTTGGAGAGAATCCTGAAGATAAAGTGGCGCAAATGAAATTATTACTTGGAAATGTGAAGATATAACAGACAAAAAACAGTCCTGTCGGGTTAAGACTGCCGTTCATTCATCTCTCTATTTTAGCCAAGCAAAGCGTCTTTATATCTCCTCCACCCCCAGGAGTTCGCATTTGATAACTCTCTCGCGACTCTCAAGTACGCCTGCGCTTTGAGAGCCGGCAGAATTTAAGATACGCGAACAGATCAACACCCCTAGAAGGACAATAAAAACTTTCAACGTCGATGTTATCTCTTCAAAATATAATATCGTCCAACAGTTTGGCTTGAAATCAATGTTTTTATGAGAATTATACAGAACTGTCTTGGCTTTCGCAAATCACATCAATAAATTAATAAATAACTCTGTATGGAGATTGATGGTGAAAATGTGTTGGTTTCGTTGAAAGTTTAAGAACACTTACGCAAACGCTTGGAATAAATAATAACAATTTCCATCCCCCTCTTCTTTTATATCTTACCAAATCAAACTCCTTGCTCCAGTCACTGACAATATCAGCTGATAAATGGGTAGGTAACTTGTGCTGTTCTGGTGGATGAGTATAGAATACGATCTTTCCACTGCGAACCAAAGAAAATAGACTTAACTCATTTTCTAGGGAAGTATAGAGTGGAAATATCATATTCTTTCCCATTCGCTTTAAGTTCGGCAATCCCTTTCAGGGTAAGAAATAATTGTCAGTAGCGTGAATTGTATAAACACTCTCAACTAAAATTGGAATAAAATAAAATGAATAAATGCAAATATAGAAGCAATTGCTTATTCTAAAAGAGAACTGCAGAGCTTTAAATTCAAATTTGATATTCCTACAGGTTGTATGTGACAAATATAAAACCTCAATTCAGGTTCTTTGAAAGGCAAATTACCTGTGCTACATCACAGTTTGTGCAACTTCAAAGTCACCCTTCTCCATTCTTGGCTACCCTTGACCCTTCTTTTGTTAATATTCCCTTTTATTTGTTTTTCTGTCTTGATGAACTAATATTTGTAATCTCAATCAAGTTGAAGGTACATGTAGCTGTAGATCGCACAACAAATGACTTTAAAACATTGTGACAGTACCCCTTCAATTCAGTGAACAAAACTACAAATCAGATACCAAACCTGTTCCAATCTTTCAATACTCTTTTCCCTGCTGCATTTACATTGGGGATGCCACCTACAATAATCGAACACAAAAATCTTAAACATGCATTTACTCACTGCAACAGAAAGAGCAAATGAATCAAGTCAAAAGCATATACTGGTAACCTAAGTTATATGTTTTTATTCATAAGTTCAGTGCCAGATTTAAGTTCAATTATTTGGAAGTTTGCTGTTTATCTACTCTATGTCTTCTGGTAAGTTTTGAGCTTGGATAAGTATTGAGCTTGGTAAAGAAATAAGGAAAGATGTTTTTTGTCTTGTCACAAGTTTGGGACAAGGAAAAATTCAGAGTCTCCTGAGTAATAGAACCTCAGAGCTTCGGATTCCATGTTCCAATGCTCTACCACTGAGCAACAGAGACTCTATGGTGAGCAACAGAGACTCTATGGTGAGCAACAGAGACTCTATGGTGAGCAACAGAGACTCTATGGTGAGCAAGGCCCATTATGAAGTTCATATACGACATGCATCCTGCATACTGCCAGGATTGGCACAATCCATAGCGTCATGTTTTGTAGGGGGGGGGGACATACACTACCCCTCACAACCCTGAGGTGAACCGGTAAATGGATAATAACAAACTGTCAGAGAAACCTGACAAAAAAAGTAGAAGGGAGGGGTGTGTGGGGTTAATCTATGATGACCTATTGAAGATTGAGTATTAATACTCCTTGTGACCTAAAAAAAACTTGGGGGAAACATAAATGTGGCCCAAGCCAAGATCAAATAAACCTTAGAAACATCAAGAGAGGCCATACTCTCACGCAGCACTCTGCTATCTCTACGTTCTAACTGAAGGATCAAGATAGACAGCTTATGGGCCACACCCTCATTAAAAGTATCCATCAGCTATCTAACTTGTGAGTTAGACCAGTTACACAGATTACCTTTGAAGTTCCTGTACCATAAAATACAACATCAAAATAATTCTCATCCAAACAACATGGAAAGACTATATGCAAAATAAAAACAAGACTTAGACCACTCACTTCAAACCTTTAACTGAACTATCTTACCTTTCTTTAATTTTCCAAGCCTCTTACCAAGGTGAGAGAGAAACTCATGCACGTCTGTATAATCTGGTACTAAGTATTTTTCCATTACCTTTTAAAAATTTAAAAAAAAAAAAAGAAAGGGCTCAGTTGCTTTAAAAAAATGTTCATTCAAAAGTATTTGTAGTCGAAGTGCTGCATAGTTATTCAGTTTTGAACTTGTTACATGTATGAGAAAGAAGTACAAAATAACCATAACAAGATTTAAATACAAATATCAATACAAGTACTTTTACAATTTGTACAGGTGAATAGAACAGACAAATGAAGTCAAAGTTACCTGTCGTTTATTACATCTCTTTAAAATAGCTTCAACTGCTGGGACTGGATCGTCAATGCTCTCTACCTGTTAAGAAACAAACTGCACTTTCAATAACTAGTAAGTAAAGAAAGAAACTGACTTTATAGCCTCAAAGCCAAAAAAATCACTGATAAACAAAAGAAATACACTGTGGCCCACAAATAAGATGGAACTACTAAATAACCACTTGAGCAAGATTTCTAAGTAGGTGGGAGCATGACAGAAGAGCTGAACTCAATACTGCTGACTTGTGTCACATGTCAGTGACAGTAGAGGGAAGAGCTTCTGCCACTCTCTGTTAATAATTCTCTTGTGGTTATTAATATACCATTATGATAGTATATCTGATAAACCAAGAAGTTGTAGAAATCTTGTGAGGATTTGATGATAGTGAGGGACATGGATGTACTAGTAGATTAATTTTACTTCTCGTACAGGTCATATAAGCTTGCTAAAAAGATAAAAAAAAAAGGTATCACACCTTCACACAGTTCCGTAATATAACAGCTGAATCAGAGTTTCTGTTGTCCATCACAATACCAGGACTGTCCAGAAGTTTGACATGTTTGTCCAGATGTACCTCTTGCATGCTCCTGCAGGTTACCAGTAATAGCATTTCATGTTAGATTCTATTACTTTACATTATTATTTTTACATATATGTAGCGCAGACTTCTATGTCGATATATTCAGTCGCCCTTAACAGTATCCTAAGGTTGAGATCGGATGTCAGCATTTTTATCAGGTGCCTCTGGCAGCCACTTCAGTCCATGTAGCGATCTCACTTTCCCACCCATCCCACCCCAGGGAGGACATCTACTACACTCATGTATGGGAAATTTAAGTCTCCTACCCCTAACCCTGCAGGAGACGGGACCTACAGCTTTACATCTTACCCGAGAACACGAAGCAATGTGACTGAAGCGTCCTGCTTAAGGACACAACATCATGCCCCAGCCAGGACTTGAACCCGGGCCAACCGACCCAGAGTCCAGCACACTGACCACTGGACTACTCACGATGATGTAGGGTAAAATTTTTTAAAATCCTCACAATATTTACAATTTTGAGGAAAAAATAATAATACAGAAATCACTACAAGGGAGATGAAAATCACTTTGAATACTTGGCAGGACTGGGGTAGAGTAATAGGTAAGGTAATAGGTTCACCCCAAAGTAAACCTCATGCTACATTTGAATACAAGTAAAGAGCATTGACTTACTTTGTAACTCCTGGAGTGGCTCCAACAGTACAAGCTTTACATCTCTTTAAACTGTTGATGATGCTACAATACAAGACAACAGTGATGTCATGCAACAGTGTATAAAACAAATCTTATCTACAAAAAGAATATATTCCACAGAACATAGAATTCTTTGCCTATCATTTGACTTTATTTACATTCTTGAGGAGTTTGATGGGTCACCCACTACACATCATTCTGCAGTCAGGAAAAGTAACCTCCAATCTTATGAACATGTCACTATCACACACCTTGTTTAAGTCAACAGAGGTCAAATCCCTGGTTAATTGAAAAATAAAAAAAAAGCCAACAGAAAGGGCTCCTGCTGCATGTACTACAGATTCCCACAACAATGACATTACCTGCACATACTTTAGGGATACATGGTCTCAAAGTACAACTCACAGCTTAGAGGAAAGAAAGGATGGCATATGCTCAAGAGAATACTAATTTGATAACTAGACCATTCCACTAATTAAGGCTCAATGATTTATTCACTGTCTTTGAAAAATGAGAGAAAATGTTGCCAAAAAAGATGCATGAACTTTTTACATGTGAAGAAGCCACACAAAATCTAACTCAGGTCACTTTCATCAAAATAATTTGAATATATCAACAAAGTTGAAAATGGTAAATTGGCCACTGTTACGGTTATAAAAGCTGACGTTTCGAGCGTTAGCCCTTCGTCGGAGCAAATAGAGGAATTGTGGGTTGTGTGTGCTTTTAAAGGCAGAAAATGGAGCTATGTGATTGGTGGGAACATGGCAACGAGAAAAACATGAATAAATTAGTGAAATGAAAAGCGTTCGTTGATCCTTGTGGGATTTAGACTGCCGGTTTGAAAGATGAGCTTTTGTTCAAGAGTTTCACGGCTTTCCGTGCCACCTAAGTGTAAGGAAAGACCACAGATTGCCATATGTTGCTTAGAATGCTTAAAATTAATGGCCTCAGTTTTTGTAGATAAATAAATGGATAAGTAAAGACAGTATAGACTATGTGGAATTCATTATAAAACTTCAGTTTAAATGTATGTTGTAAGGTTTAGGGTTAGTGAAAGTTACATGTGCATGTTTTTAAAAATCAATTGGCCAGTGCTCAAAAACTAGAAATAAAAATGTGAGTTCCATAAAGATTTGTTTTTAGAGCCACTCTTTTTTTTGTCAGTAGTACTTTAAATTATTTTTAAAATTATTATGAATACATTTTTTTGGCAGGCACCAGAGGTGATTTGTTCATTAAAATATGATGCCAGGGTAGATTTGTGGTCTGTAGGTGTTATCCTCTATGGTGAGTCATTGTTAGACAGACTTCTGCTCCTTGCCTGACAGTGTGTTATAGTTTGTTCGTTCATTTGGTTTCTTTAATCTCCTGTAAGCCAATTATCAATAATTTATAAATTAGTCTGACTGCTTAACAGGTAACATTTTATTAATTTAACATTCACATGGGTTCTTTCAGAGAATGTGTTTACATTGATTCATACACTGGATATTTCCTTTTTTTCCCATTATTTGGGCAATTAGCAAGTGAACAGCATTTAACTACTTTCGATATTGTCTAGAATTAGTTTTCAATTCTATACTCTCAAGGTAAAAAAGTTTTGAGAAGGAACTGGACACTCACTTTTCCCTGGAAATAAATGGCAATATTCAACAAACTAACTGGGTCTTTTAAGTAAAATGTCTAACTGACAGAAAACAAAATTGGAATAAAATAGTGACGCTATTAGTAATTAAAAACCAATAAGAACAACATATTAAAAAATGAATGCATTACACATAAACCAACATTAAAAATTTGGTGATTTATAATTTATATTTAATTATTTCTTTCACCCTTTTTAAGAGGCACTGTTTGGTGTGGCACCTTTTGCCTCTGCGTCTTTTGCGGAACTTGAGAAGAAGATACGATCTTCAGCTCCCATTGTGGTAAGGGAAACACCAACAGTGATTGAAAAACTGCTCTGAAGACTTTTTTGTTTATTGTGATACAATTTCATTTTTTTTTATTATCCTCACTGTTTCCTCTACACTTCACACACTTGCAAATCAATCAGCCCTTTTACTTTCTGGATGGTTGTTACCCGGGTTAGCTCCCACTGTGTCCAGCCATCCACCACAGTGATCCTAATAGCTGGCAAATCCCCCCAACTCAGTCAAAAGCTTCCATTCAAGGCAGTGGTCAACACCAGTTGGATCAGTGGAAGGAGGAGGTTATCATGAATTCTGGAAATCAACTGCTAGGAAACCCAATGGAGCTTCTAAAAAACACTGGCTGCAGAAGTGGTTGAGAGCTGAAAGATTCAACTGTAACAGTGTTACAATGTTCCATATGTGAACCTGAACTTGTTAGGTTGATGTTTGTCTGAGAGAGTCTCCTGAAATTCTGGCAACTATCTTAATTAAGCTAGTTTGTTGAATTGTTCAAGGAGTCAGGGGCGTGACTCCTGGAGCTCCCATGGTGTGAAAGTCGCATTAACGTCAATTTTTTTTCATGTATTTTTTTCAACTTGTGCAGGGGATTTCACCAAAAGGNAGCCAGAAGAATAAATTGGTGCCACAGAGTTGAAGAATGATTAAGAGAAATTGTGAGGGTATATTGCAGTGGAATAGAATCCCATCCAGGATGGGGGGTGGGGGAGGGTCAGCAATATTCTTTGACACTATAAGCTATTGAAAGCGGAATAAGCTGTGCCACCACTGTGTTTGTGACACGTTAAACCTTTACAAAAACTCACCTATTTTATTTAAAATCAAAACTAATTTCTTATTGACTCCTGAAGATAATACTGCCTCCTCTACCTGAGAGGAAATGAAGAAGTATTTATTAGTAACATGTCCAGGTACAGCTTTTTTTTTTAGGTGAAATAGTGATTACCTTGAAGATGAAACTTCTGCAAAGTTCAGACATTTCTACCAAATTTATAGAGCTTAGGTCTCAGGGTCATTAAATTTTTCACAAATTAAAAGGTGGCTCTGAGTGTCCTCTATAAAATCATTTACACTTAAGCCACAGTGCCATTATCATGGCCCACAACAATCAAAAAAATGTGTATTTTTAAATGGTATCATATCACCTGTGGACATCTACATCCTAGAGGATCACGAGAATCTAATACTTCCAGGACAACATCTGCAGCATCAACAACCTAAATAATGGATTCATACACATTTCATGTCTTAATATAATCGAGTGAGACATTTCATTTTCTAAGCCCACATACAATATGGTTGGACTCACACGCACTTGATCTAGAACTTTAAGATGATGCTCATCAATAAACTTCCAGAGGAAAAATCATATTAAACACGAATATAATTGCACGAGACGTTTCATTTTCTAAGCCCACATGCAATATGGTTGGACTCACACGCACTTGATCGAGAACTTTAAGGTGATGCTCATCAATAAACTTCCAGAGGAAAAATCACATTAAACACGAATATAATCGAGTGAGACGTTTCATTTTCTAAGCCCACATGCAATATGGTTGGACTCTCACGCACTTGATCTAGAACTTTAAGGTGATGCTCATCAATAAACTTCCAGAGGAAAAATCATATTAAACACAAATGCGCGCTATAAAAGGAGGCTTAGGTCCCACTGGACCATTAAATTTTGTCAATCAACCATCGTGTGATGTAGAAGTCTTAGAGTCAAGTCAGCTTGAGCTATAGCTACTCCAAAGCAGTGAACAGCGGGCACATTCTTCAAAATTGTTTTATGTCTTCATCACAATACCAGAATTTTTGAGATTTGTATTTCCTTTCTCCAATGGAAACTGTTTTTAGTTGTGGCGGTAAATTTGAGATCGAAGTAGGTGGTT